AATGAGAAGATGAGATCCATCTTGGATTGATTGACAATACAACCAAAATCCAAAGCTTGTAAAGAACTTGGAGAAACAAAATAACCCTTAATTAGATCACAAAGAAATGAATGCAATGCAATATGATGATTATGATGACACATAATCCTAAATAAAGAGGGCAAATTTTTGGTGCAACAGCTGCCCCTATTCAATAATCTTAAGCTTGATAAGTGAGAAAAGCGACAACTTTTGAACTTTCAGAGTTGAAGATGATTGAATACGAAAGTACCAAAAAATTTACACTCCTGAAAAGAAAAAAAAAACCCTCAAAAGACAAAGAATTCCAGGAGACGCGGGACAGAGAAGGTAACAAACGAATTTGGATTTAGCAAGCACAAGTTCTAATGAAAATTGACCCTCCAAAGACATGCGTGAGAGTTAAGCTGTAACGTAGACTTTAAAAAAGTTGATACAAGACTCAAACTTAGAAGATTAGATGAATCTAAACTTATGAATAATGTGTCAGGATAAAACCAGACCACAAAAGGGGTGAGATAAGATTCAAACCACAGAGAATAGGCAAAGCTAAACTCTAGTAAAGTAGGCGGGGAAATGTGGCTAGAGCACATGATTCTAGGAGCACCTGTTAGTCTCAACCACATGTGAACAATAAATAAAACTGATACTAACCCGAGGATACAAAAACGAAAGCTGAAGTACAATAATCAAACACTGTTAAAGGCTTAGTAAACAAAATTTGCTAAATATCCAAGGAATGACATCAAAGAAGACAAAACATGACTCGACAATACTAGAAGATCAAAAATTTCTAGAAATGAGTACCAGGACAAAACAAACTGGATTTCACGCACGGGTAATGAGGAAAAACTCGACCCATAGCAAAGTGATGAGAGTGCATGTTTCTCAGAGCTCACGCTGGTCTCTAACCACGGGTAAATAGTAAATGAAAACTGACTAAAACCCTAATATGTATAAAAGAGACATCTCAAGTCTATGGGCACAACAAACAAAAGCCGTAATATAGTAAACAAACACTGTCAAAGGTTCAGTAATCAAAAACTGATAGACGTCCAAAGAGTGAGATAGGGGTTTAGACCAAAGACACGATAAATGAACACCAATAGAAGAGTCCATGGAAAGAAATAAAACGAGACAAAACTCGAATCATAATAACTAGTTAGGCAAGATAAACTAAATGAGTACCATGGCACAACAAACTGGATTTCATGCACAAGCGACGAGATCAAGACTCGACCCAAAGCAAAGTGATGAGAGCACATGTTTCTCAGAGCAATTGCTTGTCTCGGGCCATGGATAAACAATAAACGAAAACTGATAGACGAATCCAGGGAACAAAGGAGACTGATTTCAACCAAGGACACAATTAAATGAACACTAGAAAAAGACTCGGTAAACGAAAAATGATAAAGGATTCAGTAATAAAACACTGATGGAAGTCGAAGGTATGAAAACAAAACGAGATGACACTCAACTTATTATAACTAGTTAGATAAAACTAAACTAGCTAAGTACCAGAACAAAAACTGGATTTCATGCACGGGTGAGGAGATAAAACTCAAACTCGACCTAAAGCAAGGTGATTAGGGCGTACTACTAAAAACCTGCTAAAAATAAATATCAGGATGGAACTAATATTCAAAAGGTACATCAATAGACATTGGAATGAACCAACAAGGGTATTAAAGACAAAGCCCAAGAAAACTGCGCCAGGGTAAAACTGAACTACAATCAAGAGTAGGCGCTCAATATTCAAATGATTAACATTAACAAGATATATGTATGGGTTGAAACTGAGATACTGAGGATGAAGACCTCGCTGGGCATATAATCCGAAGAATTTAGAAAATTCACTGGGGAAAACTGAAACAGTTATGGGTTTTGTTTCGATGCATGTCTGAATCATTTTTCTATGAAGTAATGTTCCAAGAGAGAATGGAAATAATACGCTTTGCGGATGAAATGCGATGATGCATGATTAAATGTTTCACTAAGGAACGGCCAATTGAGAAGCCGACAACCAACAGGTCAAAACCTTATAAGACTTGTAAAAATAAATTGCCAAATCAGCTGGAGAAGATTAGGGTGAAACCAATGGAGAGGAATCCTTGAAGAGCTGAAACTCTATTGGGAGTAACAACTGAGTAGCTGATAGAAACAAGCTACAAACACTGAGAGGAGTTGTAAAATTAAATTGCAAGCTTTGCTGCAGAAGATCACGTCAAAACTGTAACTTTTGATAAGAAATTCCACTTGAAGATTGGACATTGCTGGAGAAGATTAAATCAAAGCTGTCAACTCCTAGGGTGAAAAAAACTTGTATTTTCAGGGATATAAAAATCCATTATGGAGAAAAGAAAACTTATACTCAAAATTCTTGCTGAAGAGTACGTAATCATGGCGTAAGTAGCTCAACTGGGGATTTACGAACAAACTTCAAAAGGAACGAGCATGCCAGGGATACGAGAAACCTCATGTAAGAAGTCACGATAAAAACACTTTTCTGGGAATACGACACTCATCATTATCCAGGATCAGACTCTACTTGAAACAAGGGAGAATTATTGAATAAGAAATCATCAAACAGATTAACTAGGGAATAAATATTTATGGATAAATGATCTCCCAGGGTATCTTCACAGGAGAGATAACAGAAATCTTGAATAAGAGATTTTCGTGAAACGACTTCGTTGGAGAAATGAGAATTCCTGAATAGGAGATTTCTTGATAAGGAAACTTCATATGGGAGATGAGTATTTCTGATTAAGAGATTTCTGAAGGCAACTCCACTGGGGAAAGGATAAATTATGAATAAGAGATCTCAGACAATGGTCTTTACTGGAAAGATGAAATAAATCTCAACACAACTTAGTCAGAGAAATAACATTCCTGAGAGTGATATCTCAAATAAGGCAACTCCATTGGGGAATGAGAAATCTTAGACAAGAGATCCTCATAAACAACCCCTTTTGAGGAAGTGATATGATGCTAACATGACTTCAGAACAAACTTGAATAATCTTTACTAGGGATAATAAAAGATTCTCAGCAAAAAGAACTTTAAACCATACTTCTGCTATGGAGATAAATAGAAAAGTATTGAATAAGAAATCTTCATGAAGTGACTTCGCCGGGGAATAGGAGAAATTTCCAAAGGAACTCTTGACTTCAACTGGAGATGAGAAGACTCCACTTCAGGGGATAAACATTCTCTGATGAGCACAACATAACACATGTCATTTACTGGAAAATGGAGATTCTATACCAAAAGATCAAAACTTTTAGATAAAATACCTTTTGCTAGGTGATATTAGAGAGACAATACTTCAAGCATTTGGAAAATAAGACTTTCTTAATCCGAAATTCCAGTTAGTTAATCCTTAAAAGTCCTAACTATGAGACTTACTAAGGAGAAGTAGAAACTACAGTGCTGCCCGGAGGAAACGACCCAAGTTAGGGACACTTTAATTATCTTGAAAGATGTTGCTCTGGTAATGGCAATTTACGCAGATAAGCAAAGCAAATGATAACTCATGTGAAAAAGATCACTGAACGTGCCCCGTGCATAGTGTGACAAATTCGTTGAAAAGGGTCTTGTAGAAACATGGAACCATTTTGACTTGATATAATCTGCCCCAGATTACTCGAGCTCTAGATTGTTGCAATTGGATTTAAAATCAGAGTCACCACTACTAGTTTTTATCCTAAGGAAGGGAATCTAATAGAAAACCTTAATTTGCAAACAGAGGTTCTAGGTTTCGGACTTCTTTAGACGAAAGGAAGGTGTTAGGCACCTTTCATCTACCTTATTCGTAGGGATACTAGGTTTATGTTTAATAGTTAGGTAAAAAGCGTTTTAATTTTATTTAAGGGAAAAGGGTTTGTTTTTTAATTAGAGGGACTCGCCATGATTTTAGTCGCATGCCTACGTATCCTCTTATGAGGAATTAGAGTCCTAATTTGTAGTTCGTGGTTGGTTGATGTTTTTTATGGGATCGCGTATAACCTCTTTTGAATTTACCCTTGACCTTGTCCGAGTTTGAAGGTTAAGTGATCATAGACGCAATTCGCAGTTAATTTCGATAACAAATCTCCTTAATCCTTTTGTGAGAATATCTTGTAGTTTGACTATGTTAGTAAAAAATGGTTTATTGTTGGTTAGCTATCTTGATATTTTGATTCGATTAAAGAGTGTGATGACACATTGAGCAGGGGAGTCTGATATAGACTCTTCCTCATGTGGCCAGATATTGACCACGTGTTACTCGTCATGAAGGATGCGGAGGAAGCCTGATATAGTCTTCCCCACCACGTGGCCAGATATTGGCCACGTGTCACTTGCGGATGAAATATTTGGAATTGTGTGTGTTTTAATATTTTGATTTTTAATAATAAACTGGTAGACGATGTATCGACCGATTTATTTATTCGGAGATAGACATCCTATGTTTTATAAAATGTTTGAATTAATTTTAAAAAAAATCTGATTATAAAGAGAATAAATCTTAATGAAAATAATCTGATAAAATAAACCTAATATTAACTAAAGGTTTAAGAACATATTGTGTTTGAATAAGATTAATTAATTCTAAAGATTAATCAAAATTATTACCTAAACTAATTAAGTAAATTAAATAAAATAAATAGATAACTAAGGGGTGTATTAGTATAAGTTAGAGGTTAAATTCTAAAACCCTAATTTAAAACTATAAATAATAAAGTAAAATATTATATAAAAAAACAATTATCACAATTGGGCGGTGTCATGTTTGTTATGTGATTATCAGAAAATTAAATGGAATATCATTAAGTTGACTCATTCAATCATGTTTTAAAGGACCAATAGGGTATTGACAAGTGTCCAATTGTTTACAAAAAATCAAAACACTGCATATTAAAAATATTAGAGAAGCAAAATAATCAGATCTATAACTTTCACCTTTTCATACACACAACTTCTCTCTTCAAAGTGAGAGCTTCTTATCTCTTCTTTTCAAAAGTTTCAATAATACCCATCAATAATTCCTTTCTCCAACCTGAATTGAAACAACAAAATAACACTGAAAGTAAAAGGAAAAACGGGTCACCCGAATGAAGGTAGTCGGACGGAGCGGCCGTGGCGGTGCAAGCATGAGAGGGGTCGCCGGTGTGATGCGGCAGGAGTTGGATGGAGAGATGGTTGTTGTAACAGAATTTAATGTGGAGGGAGGTCACGGAAATGACGAAGGAATCTGAGTTGTCGTTGGTCGAGTCCAGATGACTGTGTTGTGATGATGTTGGGTTTTGATGGTTGCGCGGAATCAGAGGAGACGAAGGGTGTTGCAGACGACCGTGATGGAGGCTGGTGGTTGTGGTTTCACGGTGGCGGATATCTCCGTCGTGAGGCAATGGGAGGTTGATGGAAAACACAAGTGATTTGGATTCATGAAAATTATTGCCACAGTAAAACCACAACGACATGTTTTTATATTTTGGTTTTGTGAATGGTTTAGTCATAAAGAATAAGGTTATTTTTCTTATGGCAAACATGGTGATAAATTTTACTCTCTAAAAAAACTGGTCACTTGTAAAAAACAAATGGAACATAAACATTACTGAGGAAAGTGTGTAGTTTTTTTGTGCCAAATAATTATTGCAATATGTTGTGAAAAATGTTTGTGTGTAAAAAAAAGGGTTTGGCTCTACGCTGAAAATAAGTTAATACTATAAAAGCAGTTTGTGAAAGAGGTGAATAAAATATTTACACTGCAGGGGATTTAGAAAATTGTAAATATAATTTAAAAGGACAGTGAAAAAAAAGAGTGAGATTATAAAATAGGGACTAGGCCTCATGTTAAATTGATTCAGACAGATGTTGTCTAAGGATTAATTTGTTACTCATCAGCCAAAAAAATAGTTACTTGTAAATGCGTAAAAAATTGTGAAAGAGAAAAAAAGTATATTGTTCTTATGGAGTGATTCGTCGAATTTCGACGAAACTGCTTCGGGTTGAGTAACCTTTGAAGAGATTCTCCCCGAGAGGACTTCTTGAGATCTATGCTGAGAATAACACTCTTAACTTTAGTTGGAGATAAAAATCTCAACTACTGATAAAGAAACAACAATACCAAGACTTAAAATTATGATGAGTTGAGGATAAAAATCCTGACTTCTCGTCATGTTCTTCGCCTTCATAAATTATTCAGCCTGCGACCAGATTTAAAATGATCAATTCTGAAGTGGGAAAATGCCCTTGCATAATGCCTTGCCCCACTTCATAGGGCTATTGAAGAACATGTCCTGAAAGGACTTCCTGAGATCTGTAACATCTAGATAAACTGCCCCAATGTTACAAACTTTAAAATACGACCTCTGACTAATCAATATTAGAAGTGGCTTAAATGAATCTTGGGTAAAAGACTCTGATCACTCGGCACTTTGAGAGATTTATCGAATCTCGACATAATTTCCCCATATTAACAAAACTTTGAGAGTCAATGAATCTCGACTTGATCTCCCCAGATAATTCAGAATCTTTGCAAACCATTTCCTTACCTCATACTCACAGAGGAATAAGAAGTTCACGAAGTTTGGAAGATAACACATCCTCAGGATAATTGACTTATATATTCAAAACAAGCTAGTACACAATCATACTTCTCAACTTGAAATATTTCGCCCTTAAGTAGATGCTTGAATAAAATTGTCCTTCGGGACCAACTGGAAACGATACACAATTGCTCAATAAAGACTTGTGGGCAGAAAAAACTTCCGCACAATCAACAAACAAATAGTTCTTGATCAATCCCTCAAACTAGTCTTCTTCAATTCAAAGGAGTAGCTAGAAAGTATGCCCCAGATTAAGATCATTCTTTTCAACAGATTTCTGAAGCAATTAGTCACTCAGGATAATCAAACTCTTCATTTGATGCTCATTATGCAAGCTCACTTGATGTTTAAGCACTTTTTTATATGCAAAGAATTTTTTATCCTAAGAATGATAATTCTAATGCAAATCCTTATGCTTGTCTTAAAGTTAAAAAGCTTTTGTTGAAAAGATGTCAAAACATCCAAAATTTTCTATACAAGGAAAGTAATAAGGGGAGTGATACCAACTCAAAAAAAATTAGCAAGTCTCCAAGGATCAGGTTACCGTACTCTTGTAACAGTTTTTCTTTCGAATTAACACATGCTTAAATTAGGACTTTTAAGGGTTGTAACATGGTTTGGTTCATAATTTTTAGACAAAAAAGGTTTTTAAGGCTCAAAATTATTTGGTGCCTGCCCATTCTTCATGATGTTCTCTAGTCCTACATTCAATTAACTCGATACAAGCACTCATCTCTCAAAAGAGTTTATGATGGTTGAGGAACCACAACGATTTCTTGGACACGACAATCACTTAACCTTAAGTTTTTGGGTGTTCGATCACACAACTTTTCTTTTGATGAGGATTTTTATTGGATAATCTTTTTCTGCCTTTCGGGCTTTTCAAATTATTTTTCTCTTTCCCTAATTCTTTCCTGGACCAGTTCTTTTGAATTTCAATTTGGAAGTACAACGAGATACTTTAACTTTTGCCTAAGCGACTTATTTTCAAGTTTCGACTTAGCGGGGATTTTTTGTTTCTTTCTTATTCATACTTTTTCTTTCTTTTTGAACAAGTTGTGTGACCCTAAGTCTTTGAACTCTTTGGAAGAAAGTGACTGCCTCATTCCTCTGTCGGCGAGGGATAACCATTGTTGTATCGATTTGATCTAGACCTCAAGATTTTGTGAGTAAATAACCATTATGGTTTTGAACTTTTCCCGATCTCCTAATGTGAGGGATATGGTGTGGTGATCCTCAGATTGGACACTCCTTCTGAAATTTGAATGCTCGATCAAATTAACAGAACATCTACCTTGCCCCGGGTTAAAAATAAGTGTTTCTTCCGAACAGAAAAGAAACTCCTACTTCGAGGGCCTAGAGGGGGTAATGAGGGTCTATCTTCCTTATATCTCCGGTGTTTGGGGATTGAAACAAGGCATGTACATTGTCAACAATGTTTTTACTCGAAATCATACCATTTGAGACTCTAAGTAAATTTTCGTCATCCTCCATCCAAAGCTATTACTTTATTAACAAGAGTTGAATATCAAAACATAGTCAAACAAATAAGAGTGATAATGAATGAATTAATTCAATACAAACATATTCAATGCATTATGATTTAATATTCCAAAAGATGATCAAGTTTGCATACAAGAAAGTACTAATCCAAACAATTAAGATTGCAAATGAAAATGCAAATGAAATTTGAAATTCCCATATTGAGGAGACAAGACTCCGTATGGAATGATTACTTCAAACGATCTTCAACAACCTTGAGGCTCACTTGGATAAGATATTCCCCATTTTATATGGACATAACAGTCTTTGAATTGATCCAAACTTGGACTTTATCTCTGGAAGACTAACTGTCTTCAATTGAATAGTCGAGTGCCCCAGAATATACTTACAGAATATTCTCTTAAAAGAGAAGGTGAATGTTGTACCTAGCGAAATTGCATACACTGGATTATCAAGTATCTTCTACCTCACGGGAGAGATTCAGTCCAGCAAATAGAAATTGGACTTTGGAAAAGACGCCAGATAGAAGCTGGACTTTGGTTCAAAACCACTTACCAAATAGAAATTAGACTTTGGAAAAGACGTCACTCAAATGTTGGACTTTACTTAAACCTCTTACAATCTTCAACATACGACCAAATACCCCATAATGGGAGACACACCTAGCATTTGCATTAGGAGAGAGATTGATCAACTGAATAATCTCCAAAGCACAAAGCTTAATCAACTAAATTTTTAACAGACGAGGAAGTACCTGGATGTAAGGAATTGAGATGGTATCAACATCATTCTCAATCTTCTTCTATCTTTGCTTAAAATATTTTCCCCATGGATTCACTTGGGGAAGAAACACCGACTGCTGACGAGAAGATCAAGGAGCTCAAAGTTACGAATAACGTGCCTGATTGAATAATCAGGTGTCCTATTATGGTAGCCACATCTAACATTGGCATCATGATCAGGAAGTGAACTTATAAACGGTGTTGAAGTACGGAGCCTAACCAACTGAAGCTCAAGTAAGTGTAGAAAAAAATGAGAATAAAACATTGGAATGGGATCAAAACTATACTCCAGACCTTTTCTGCCCTTGCTAATAAAACATATCCCTTGAATTCAACTAGGAAATAGGAACCATCTGCTGATAATATGTTCCTTGCACTCAAGATGGTGGATGAGACCCACAAGGTACTCCATGGTTTAAAAGAAAACCCAAAAGATGAGGAAAAGAGAATAACTCATGTTGCAAAAGTTGGTTTTAGGATTCTTGAAACTATCATAAAGACTTCCCTGACCTGACTTAACTGGGTATTCAACTGATTATCTTCCTTCTCAAAGAATTCCCGATCATGGGCTAAACTTGCATGTATACCATAAATAACCCGATTTGAATCTTCGTCTCAATTAATCCCCTGCGAAGTTAATCCATATTGATCTCTAAACATGCAACAACAAGAATTCAAGTCTAAAATTCCGAAGAGAGTACCAAGTGTGAATATGAATCTCCAACTCTGATACCTGTTATGAAAGTATAAAGATGCATGAGGTGCGTGAGTGGGTGCAATGCCATGTTCAGTCATTTTAAAGGAACTCAGATGCTTTTAATTTTGATTTTAAACCAGTAAAAGGTGGAGAAGTGCAACACAAAGCTCACAAGCATGGTTCCTTGGAAATGGAAAGAACATGTGTGTTAAAATGACGTTAACAAATTATGTATGCAAGAACACGAGATACAGGTTCCATAAACATGGAAAAATGGTTGCACTATCTCTACATGGAATAATGAATGTCACTGAATCAAAGGTTTGACGCTACCTTGGAACACAAAAGAATCAAGTTCCAAGTGGATCAATAACTGCATGAGACCCAAATATCCCTATCATAAAAGATATCCGCTGAACTACCGAAATAAACGACCATCACAAGGTGAGAATTCTGGAGTAAAACCAGTAGAACACATAGTCACAAACAATATCAAGTCACCATCAAAAAAACACTGTAACTATCAGAACATGGTCTCCAACAGAACTCAAGTCAACATCAGAATAAATGGTCACCATCTATACCTATAAAGATATATACCCTCACCACTCACGGGTCAAGACTAGGACAAGGTAAGGAAAGGGTAACTCAGAATCATGGGTGCGCCTGAAGCCACTATCATTGATGTAGCGGTATAAATGTCGAGACTAAACCATTGGATTGACTTAACTAGCACAAATCAAATAAAAATCGCCACCGTGCTTTATTGTTTCTAAAGCAATGGGAAAAGAGCGAATAACCCAAAAAGAGGGGGAGAGAGTCTAAGTTCGAGGGTTGGTTATGCAAAGGGAAGGTATTAGCACCCTAAACACCTATGGTACTCCGTAGGA